AATGTTTATACAGTCCTTTAAGGTTTTACAATCACTTTACATACGTTATTTCATTTGATCTTCACAAAAACACTGAGACTGGTATTAAAGGTACAACATTTTACAGATGAGGAAAATAAGGCTTAAGTAGTTTAAATGATTTGCCCATGGCCATAAGGCTGGCAGGTGTCAGGGGTGAGATCTGAACCCAGGTCTTTCATAACTCTACGTTTAAGACTCTTTAGAATATTTCTTGGAACTAAATGCTACATCTCCAGGAATCCTGTTAATTTGCATATACCCTCAGATTACATAAAATAAAGTCATCCTAAATTTCTATTTAAAAACAAAAATGTCAGAGTTTTCTGTTTGAGTCTGTATGCAAAATTATGAAATGGGAACAGTAAGCAATTAAGACATTAACACTTTTGTACAATTCTATTTATCACATTGGTCTTTAGGGAGCTGACCCGAAGAGATGAGACCAAGTGCAAATAAGTTTTACTGGGAAAGAGGGAGGAAAATATCTAGAGAGAACAATCTGGGTTCTGTTTAGGAAAGTCAAAACTAATTAGGGCCATAGCAAGGCCCCTTGAGTACTGGGGGATGCTGCAGGAGTAGTAAGCACTTGGACCAGGTAGATGACAAGGAATAAGGAATGTATAAAGAAAATACCATGTCACTGAAGCTTGTGCTTTATGATTTTGCTGAGAGCAAGCTCTGCTCAGCTGTGTCCAGAGACTTCAGAAAAGATGCTGGTTCTGGCAGGGGCACCATTGCAGTAGATGTTTGGTGATGTGCTGGTCTCTCACTCATTCACAAAACTACCACATGGATTTAGGTTGAGTGTCTATGGAGTGTGTAGGCATCAACCTAAAAGACCATGAACCTTGTTCTTAGCTAGAAGAGATTTGTAACATACTTTATTTTTAAAGGAAACCATATTCATTATCTCATTCGATCCTCACAATAACCATTTAAAGAAGGTTGGGAGGAATCATTTGTCCCATTTTGTAGAAGCAGCTGGGTGGCTCAATGGATACAGTGCTTGGCCTGTAGTTAGGAAGAACTGAGTTCAAATCCAGCCTCAGACAATTATTAGCTGTGTGACCCTGGGCAAGTCACTTAACCTCAGTTTCCGCATCTGTAAAATGGGGATAATAATAGCGTGTAACTTCCACAGTTGTTGGGAGGGACCAAATGACATAATTGTAAAGTGCCTAGCACAGTGCCAGGCACACAGTAAATGTTATGTTCGTTATTATTAATTATAATGAAGTCCAGACACAAGAAACAACAAGGTCACATGGGGAGTTTGTGATGAAGCTGGTACTAGAAATCAGGTCTCATAACTTCTAATTCAAAAGAATCCAATCTCCTAACAACACGTGGCCCTCAGAGAGTTCATTGCTATTAGGAAGCTCTTCCTTTCCTTCCTTTTTCTTTTGCTATTTATCTTCTCTGGTCCCTGAAGGAGTCATGGTTTAGATGCCTTCATGACTCATTCATGGATGTGAGTAAGTATGTGAGACAGACAACTACCCAGGGAACAATTTCACAGCCCATTTCCAATGAGTCCAAAAGGACTCTGGTCTCTTCCAGTGAGGGTGGCTGAAAGATGCAATCTAATGAACTGAGTGGCCCCTTTTGTTACTATGAAGGACTAACATTGTTGAAGCAATGCAGATTTCAAGAAAATGTCTCTCAAGTCATACATTTTCATTAAGTGTCCCAAGAAAACTTTTGAGATATGTTCTCCTTTTCTCCTCAGCCTTGAATCAACTGCAAATTAACTAGACTTTCCGAGGAAAAAAGCCTGCCTCTCCTTTCATGGGCTCCTCCTTAATACTTGGGGTCATTTTTCACAACTGTCAGAATAATAGCTATGACATTTATATAGCACTTTAAGTCTTGCAAAGAGCTTCATATGCGTTACTACATTTGTGCCTCAAAACAACCCTATGAGGTAGGCACAAAAGGCATTATTATCCTCACCTTACAGATGAGGAAACTGAGGGTCAGAGAAATCATAACTAGTTATGTCAGCTTTGAACCTAAGTTCGAGATTTACCATGCTATCCAGACAATGGGGCTGTCATTTGGAGTCATTCCCATGGAAGAATGGTATGGTGGAAAGAGTACTGGATGCAGAGTCAAAGGACCTGGGTTTGAACTCCAGCTCTGCCCAACTTTAATTTCCTTATTTGTAAAATGAAATAGATGGACTTAGATGCCTTTTAAGGTCCTTCCTAGCTAAAAATCTATGATCCTAAGTGAAACTTGAATTCTCAACTGCTTTCTTCTGTCCCTCTCTATTTCTCACTTCTATGGAAAGAACCCTAAGCTTAGAGTTAGAAGACTCAGGTTCTAACTTTGTTCTCCCACTGTGTATCTTGAGCAAACCATTTAACTACCATATAACAGTTTCATCATCCATCAAAGGACGGGTTAGACTAGTGGAATTCTAAGGTCCCCTCTAGTTCCTAAATATCTATAAGAGTAGAAGAGGTTGTTTTGACTATTTTCTCCAAAGACTATAACTCTAACATCTGGCCATGCACTTCCTACTCCTTTCTGTTACTGAGAATATATTTTATGTCTCCCCCTTTGACAGTCTGCTCTTGCTGATTTCTTGGGAGCTGCTGATAAGGCCTACTTTGACATTTTGAGTTATCTGGGAGGAAAGCAAGGGGGTGTGGTGATTCTGGGTCTGGCTTGTGTCTAAGAAATCAGGCACTGGGTGGGGGAAGGGTAGTGGGGTGAAGAGATGGTGCAAGGAAAAGATGAGGGTCTTCCCTCTTGGAGCCAGCTTCTGGCAGGGAGCTCAGTAACTGCTGTGTATAAGCTGCTCTTGGAATATCCACATTTCTTAGAATCTCTCCTGTGTACTTGATAAGATGTGTTCTGTTCATCATTTGTAAGTCCAGTGCCTTTTCTCTGGTGCTTGGTATCTGTTTTTGAACAATATTCAGCATTGCCCGTATCTAAGGGTTTTCCCCTCTTTCTCTTTTTTTCCCCTCCTGCCTCATCTCTGCCCTTTAGAATCCTCCTCTTTCAAGGCTCTGCTCAGATGTCACCTCCTCCATGAAGTCTTCCCTGATCTTTCACTCCAACACCATCAGTTAAAAGCATTCTCTCCTTTCTTGTTTTTTTTCCTAGAGTACTATATTTAGATCTTTCTACCTTATATTATGCTTATCTGAGTATATGTCATAGCCCTGCCATTGCTCATTCTCCCATCCTCCCCTCCACCATCCAGAAGAATGTGTGTGTGCTCCCTGAAATGAGGAATCTTCCTATTTTGCTATGTATTCCCCCCGTGCTCAGCACAATGCCTTTCACACAGCAGAGACGGAAAAGACAGGTGGATTGGAGTGAATCCTCTACCACTATTTCAAAATTCACAAAGAATTTTAGCAAGACTAAGACAAATCTTCCATATAATGAATATTTTGCCTTTAAACTCAGCAGGACATCTAAAATACTTGAACCAACTGAATTAACTCTATTTCAATGCAACCCAACACACCAGAACATCCTTTCCCAGCCCCAACCTTTACCCTCTTCTCCATAACTCCACTTTAAGGAGAAAGAGAAGAAAAAATGATTAAGTTAACAGGGATTTAGTTTTGGCAACAAAATGCCAGGAGGTGTTCTGAGCTTATAGAACCTTCAGCTCTCTCACTGGATTTTTACCCACAGGCCTAGATGCTGATCACTGAGCTTGAGAATGAAACTCCCTTAGGCCCCAAAACATCCTTGGTGTCATCAACAAATAGGTATTGTGTACTTGCTATGTAGAGGGCACTAGGGAGAAAAAGAAATACAAGTCAACATCTGGATCTCAAGAAATTTATAGTTGAGTCCAAGAGATAGAAGACATCCAGGTGTCCCAAAAGTCTTACTGTAGTTTTAAACTATTAAAGATTAATGTTTAAGCTATAAAACTGTACTAGGACTTCTGAAACACCTTATATATTTATGAACTTTGGGGGCTATATATATGTATTATTGTATATATGATAAATTGATAAAATAATAGCATATATGTATATATAAATATGAATGTTACATATATTTATATATCCATAGCAGTGACAGTTGAGATCTTTAGAAGTGAGATGTGTGTATGTATAGATGTACAATATATTTTACATATATACATGAACACATATTTACATATATGTATGTATATATATACAATACACATACATATACACACATATACACACACACACATATATAAAATCATGTCACTCCTATGGATATTCCCTTTGCTGATGCAGGTAATTGCCTTTCCACACTTTAGTAGATTATCTTTGTGAGGTGCTGTGGGCTCCAAAATTATAAACTGGTGTCCAATCTTGGGGGAGAGGGGGGGTAAACCTATCTGTGTTTTACTAGGCTGATCGTCAGATGCCAAACAATAAGTCCATGGCTATCTTATGCCTGAAACCTTTCCATCTTGATAAGACCTACAAAAGCTTTTGTTGTCTGAAATGGTCTTTCATTGCATGAGAGGCATCCTCCACATTAGTGGAGAAAATATATATATATATATGTATATATATATATATATATATATATGTATGTATACATGTATATATATATATATATATGTATATATATATATATGTATGTATACATGTTAATTCGTTTCTGTAGCACTTATTTGACACTTAAAATGTGCTGCCCTGTATTGTTAATTATATCTATGTGCATAGAAGTGGTACAGACAAGAATCCTCTAGGAGGTAAAAGGAGAGATGTCTCAGAGTTAGAAGGCCTCATGGGAATTGGAACTCAGGCTAACCCTTGATGAAAAGGTAGGCCTTAAACAGCACCTAAGGCATCTCCTGTTGTCCTGATACATATACTGTCACTGGACCCAGATGACTCCAGAGGAGAAAGTGAGGCTGGTGACTTTGCACAGCCCTGCCTCACTTAAATTCAATTCTTTTGCAAGTGATGACATCACATTCCTGACGTCATAAATCCTCTTCTAGAATGAAGGACAAACAACAACAACAAGCCTTAAACAAGTAGAGGAAGAAGGGAAGGGCATTTCAGGAAGTTAGAAGGTAGTGAACAAAGGCATGAAGGTAGGAATCTGTATCACTGTTCTGGGATAATGAGTAACCCAATTTAGCTGCAATAGAGGGGAGGGGAGAGGAGACAGTACAGGGAAGTAAGGTAAAGAAATTAGTGGGGCCCAGATAAAGTCGCTTTGAATTCCAGGAGTCTAGAGTATCTAAATGAATAGTCACTTAAAGTTTTATGTGGAAGGATAACTTAATCAGAGTGGTTACTCAGAGTAACCAATACACCAAGATTAGTGCATTGGCCACACCTAGAATGGACTGAAAAGGTGAGAGACTGGAAGCAGGGAGACAATTAAGAGACTGCTGCAGTGATGCAAGGGCATGCTCTGCGTGCTACTGGGGGGCAGAGGAGAAGAAAGCAAAGACCTGTTATCCCAGCATCTCCAGTCATCTTTATTCATAAAGCCAAGATTATTACTTCCAGCTGAAGAGGTGGAAGTAACCTAGGACATGGGAAGATTGGCAGTTCATAGATGAGATGACGGAAGGAAAGCACAGGAAAGGTCTTCACTCATGCCTGTGCCTACCCTTGAGTCTACTTCACTAGCAATGAACCAAGCTATGAGCAGCGATTTGGATCCTATGCAGTTAAATTAATGAGTGCCAGGAAGCCAGTAATGAGTTAGAAGTCCCAGACAAAGAGATAAAGAAAAAAAATGCATCAGTGTTAGTGACTCAGGTTCTGAGTTTAACACTGGATATTGATCCTATGGGAGGCAGTGAGTGGAAAAACTGGTAGGGGATGGCTGCTAGCTCCCAGTGGACAGAGCTGATGGGGAGATTCGAGTCTATGCACCCTAACTATGTTCCTGTACTAATGGGTTTGGGACATACCTTTATCATCAGTTCTCAACCTGGGGTCCAAGAACTTTTTAAAAAATACTTAGACATTTTCAATATAATTGGGTCCCTTTATAATTCTGTGCATTTTATTTTATGCATTGAAAAACATTACTCTGAAAAGCGGTTCACAGGCTTTACTAGAGTGCCAGAGGGGTCAATGATATAAAAATGGGTAAGAACCCCTTGCTTTAGGCTGGTTTGGAATCTCCTGGGAGTGTGAGGAGCTAAGGACCCATAGCTCTGGAGCTACTTATTTCACTATAGTAGGATTAATTTCTTTTGATTCTTTTGATATGAGTAAAAGAATACCATATAGTTAAGTAATGCTTGCATCGTCAGCTGCATATGCTATATTCATATGATTGAATTCCATTTAAGCTAGGTAATACAGGAAGAGAGTGAACACTCCTGAGGGGGTGAGGGCTGAGCCAAGAGTCTAACTGGATAAACGCTAACAGAATGTACCCCTAGACTAACAAGACGAACACTGCCATCCATAAAATGAGAAGAGCTAGAATCTCTAGCTGAGAATACCAGAAAGTAACATTTTTATCCAGCAGTCGGTACATTCAAGAGGCATCACTAAACAAAACATGGTGACTTGGATATTAAGGGTGGAGAGGAGCAAGAAGAGGAAGGAATCAAGGATGTAAGTCAAGGATGACTCCGCGGATTTGAGCAATCAGTAGAAGAAGATTCAGCCGTGATCACTACAGTAGACTGCCTAAGGTGAGGCTCACCTGCACCAACTTGTAGGGAAATGGCATGGCCAGTGACTTCAGCCATTCCCTGAATCATTATACACTATGCAATTACACTGCCTTCTTACATTTCTTTAACACCTACTATGTGCCTAGACCTGTACTGGCATTAAGGGCAATACAGAAGAGGAGTAGCAAAGGAGTTAGAAAGAAATCAACCCTCTACCCCATGAAGCCCCACAGTAAAAAGAAGACAGTGAAGTAAAATGAAGGTTGAGCTGGAGAAAGGATCTCCTTTTTAAAGACTTGGAAATGAATATGGCTCTCAGATGCAAATCAGCACCCCCATTTCTGATAACCTTGCTCCTCAGCCAGTGATGGCTAAGCACTAGACATGGCAGTTATATCATATTGCTTGGCAATTCACCCTGAGTGCCCAGAGGACAATGGGCGATGCTAATGGCTTGGCTCAAACCTTAAGTTACTCCCTGGGGGAGGATGCCTTTGTTGACATTCTCCCTATCCTCTGATTTTTTTCCTAATAAAATTCCAACATTATGGGGGTATGTTCAAAGAATGTCATTCATTTTTGTTCTGTAAAGTCAATGCTATTTGAATTTGCAATCTTTTCAGAAATCATAACTGCATTCTTTTCAAGTTTGAATGTGAAACTAATAAAGATATGTGTGTGTGTGGTGGGGAGGAATCTACCCTTAGTAAAAAAAAAAATCAAACATTTTAATTTCAGAAAGTAAGTATAATAGGCAGGTGGTTCTTATAACTATTATTCAGCTTTCTTTCCAGCTAGCAAGAGATATACTTATGTAGTTTCATCCCAGAAAGTATTAAAGTCTTTTGTATTTTTCCTTAATGGTTACACTGAGAGCAGTTTAAAGTTGTCCCCATTATTTTCTAACTCACTGAGCAGTCAGTGATGCTAGTGAGATAACTGGTTATTCCAAAAGTACCAGAGGAAAATGGGGAAATAAGGAAAGTATAGCAAAGGCACTGGTAACAATTTTTTAAGCTATTATATTCCCAATAGTAGAAGTTGGGGGAGGGGATGTTTGCAAATTATGCAGGGAAAGAGTAACTTTTTAATTTTTTATATAGCTTGCTTATATATTATTGTTTGCAGGTCATCTCCCCTATTAGACCATGAGCTCCTTGAAAGCAGGGACTCTAAATGCTTGTTGACTGACTAACTCACTGGCAACATTTTTTCACCAATGATACAGCTGAAAGATCATTCCCTTCTTCCCATTCAGCCAAGAAGACCCTGCTCATGCAGGCCTCCCTGAGCTCCCTCTGCCTAAAGCTCCACAGCTGTTCTCTGCCCTAGCACCAATGTTCCATCAGGACTGGCTGCCTCATTATGCTGCCTTCCTATCTCTCTCTGTCATATCTGGATTCTGTGCCGGGCTGCTGCAGACCGTCCAGGCATAGAAGAAGAGGAAGTAAGGCAATTAGCCCCTTCATCAAGAATGAAAAAAAGCACTCCTTGAACCTCATCCAACCATAAATGATGATTGGTTGGAGCTCCTCAGGTTCTGGCTTTGTTAATGGAAGAAAATTCCACTTAGCAGAGGGGGCCCAGCTAATCTCAGAAGCATAAATTATCCTCAGAAATGAACTTGAGTACAGGAACATGACTGTGATTCAGCCCATGATGAGATAGAGCGAGGCTAGGCCTCTCTGTGGCAGAGAATTGTTTAAAGGGATTTAGCTCTCTTGGCAGGCAGGCCGTAAGTGGAAGCATAAAAAATGGTTTCCTATGTGTCGTCATTTGAAAAGTGCCAAGAAGGTCCTGCTGTCTCACACATCCCCCCAGGGATTAGCTATAGTGTCTGAAACTGTACCATAATGGGCTAGGTGAAATGGTCAAGGTCTTATTTCCTAGAACTGACACTGTTCTTTCTCTTTAGCTCCTAAGTAATCAATCGATCAATATGCACTTATTAATCACCTACTATGTGTCAGGCACACACTGTGCTAGGAGCTTCAGGTATAAGCATGATGCAAATGAAACAGTCTCTCCCTTCAAGGAGCTAATACTCTTAAGACTACCTTCTCAGATTACCTAGTTGACACCTTAGGTACAGAATTGAGGTGACTTCAGTGCAAGGAGAACATGTATAACAGATAGGTCAGAGTAGCTGGGGAGGAGGGGAAAGAGGATGCCATGAGGATAAAACTTTGCAAGGGGTGGATACTGGGAGAATATGCAAGGAAATGTGGAATATAAATTTCCCCTAATCCACCATTTTGCCTGGGACCAAGCCTGAACTCAGGTTTCCTTTGTACCATACAACTGGTCAGTGTCATCTAACACCTCTATCACTCTTCTGTCTGCCCTAGCCTCCTCCAACCCCCATCCCCAGCCAAAGATCAGGGTTTGTTTCCTATCTGTCTTGAGTACAGACAACATGGTCGTGAGCCAAAAGAGGCAATAGCATTTAGACAGATAAAGCCCTATCCTGGCTTTGGTTTCTCCTTCTGTCAGAGAGACAATAATGCAGACACAGAAAGGTCAAGTGATTTGTCCCAGGCCATGCAGATAGTAAGTTGTCATTATTAACTTGTACAATGAGAATATACACCCACAATGCCAAAATCAGTAATGGGAACTTAGTAGGTGTTCAATAAATGCTCATTAATTTGATTCAACTACAGGAAAATATCCCTGAAAAAATGCATTTATTCCTAAGGCAAGAAAAAAAAAAGACTCAAACATCTGAGATAGAATTCAACAAGATTTGAAACAAAGAGTTTGCAGCTAAACCTCCATTAGCAGAAAAGTCAGTTCCGACAAAAACTGCCCACTTTGGGGGCATTCTGATTAATCAAAATTGTGATATATCTGGTTGGACTTCTCAGAGTTTTCTAGATTTCTGACTGTCACAAAAGGCTGACCCAAACTTTTCTCCAGAGGCAAACAACCCAAGAGAGATGTGCTGTCACAAAGACATTTCTGTCTCCCTTCTGACATCCAGGCTAAATTGTCACAAACAATCTCCCTACAATGTCTGCATTTTAGCATCTCTCCAACAGCTGCTGTCACAAATTATTCAGCTAGGTGAATTGGTGGCCTGAATCAGAGTTTAGAACAAATGAAACTGACCTCAAAGTCGGTATGACTTAGTATACGATTTGGTATCCATTCAGATAGTGTCCAATTTAAATTGTCTGCACTTTAGACTCATTTTTTCCCTTCAGCCAGAAGGACCTGAGATTCCAAATTTTTTATTACAATTTCCCTTCAACACCATTTACCATAGAGGCTACTCACCCCTGAGCTTCCCTACTAGGAAACATCTAGTCCTCTTTACCAGATTATTTCATTCAATTAATCATTCAATCACAATCAACAAATGATTTGCTAAGGGCTCTGGAATAATACCAGAGAAATAAAGGAAGAATGTACTTCCTTAGTAAGCTTATGATCTCATAAACAGGTCCTACAATCCTAAATGTTGACTGTCTCACCTGGTCTACAATTTCAGGCAAACTCCAACCATGTTTCATCACTTCACTCCCTAATTCCTCCTCCTCCCACCCCTACCCCAGTTCTGGAACCCTAGTTTCTGGAAGGGGTGTGTCAATCTACTGTACTTAACAAATGCTTTTTGTTTACTAATTCATTAGGAAACCAACTCACTGCAAAAGCACATGAAAAGTTGAAGAACAACACAAGACAGTATGTGACTACTTGCCAAGTAACCAGTTCTGATAGTAGATGCAAAAAGAATTCAGAGAAGCATCACGTGATCAAAGGATTTAGAAGGAATCATCCTGATTCCCTCATTTCATAGATGAAGAAATTGAATTATAGAGAAGGGAAGTGACTTGTCAAAGGTCATACAGATGGTGTCCTGATGGATATTTAAACCCAGGTTTTTTGACTCCAAATCTAAGGAAAAATATTTAGTGTGGGCTGGAGAACCTGGAGCAGATTCCATGAAGACAGAAGGTTTTCAGCTGGATCAGAGGTTTCAGTCATGGAAAGGACCTCAAAAATCATCAAATTCAAGCCTTCCATTCATATTTGGAAGGACACATTTAACTTACATAAGTAAAGAGGAAGAGGGAGGACATTTCAGGTAGAGGAAATAGCAAAAGCAAAGTCTTGGAACCTAGAATGGTAAAGCGAGAACAGTTGGGCTAATATATAGTAGAAGTGTAGTAGTAGAGAGGAAGGTAAATGTTGGAAGGGTAGTCTGGAGGTCAGATTGTGGAGGGTACTGAAGGAGGGCTTAAGGAATTTATACTCATCCTTAGGAGGTAGCTAGAAAGTTCAGTGGATAGAGTGATGGGCCTAGAGTTAGGAAGACTTGAGTTCAAATCCAGCCTCAGACACTTACTTAGCTATGTGACCTTGAGCAAGTCACTTAACCCTATTTGTCTTAATCCACTGGAGAAGGAAATGGCAAACTGCTCAAATATCTTTGCCAAGAAAACCCTATGGACAGCACTGGTGTACTATGGTCCACAGAGTCATGAAGAGTTGGACATGAATGAACAACACTTATCCTATAAACAGTAGGGACTAAGACGGGGAAAAAAGCAGTCTCATTGCAAGAAGCTTTAACTTAAAAATTCCTTTTTCTCTTCTTCCTTAGAAAACATTCACCTGACTGCTTCACAGCTCCATTGGATGGCTCTGTTCCCAAAGTGAGTCACCCAGTGGATTCCCAGAAAGATACACAACTGTTCTAACTCCTTAGCAACCAAATGTTCCTAGACACCTCCAGCTTTAATTGTGCTTCTCAACAACGATACTCCCTCGGCTCACTCCACTCCCCATTGTCAGCCTCCACTCTCTCAGCTCCCCATTCTAAACAGAAATTCCACAGCAGATATGGCTATCCCAGGCTCTGGCACAAAGAAAACCCAGCTAATCTAGACCAAAAACATCTAT